ACCGTTTCATGCTCGATGACCTTCTTGATAGAGTCTTTCACTTGATATAAAAAACCTTTAGTTAAGTAACCTTTAGATTTTTTCCCGCTATTAAAAGCCATTTTACTTTATATACTTGAAAAACTTAAAGGATATTATAAAGCCATGAAAAAAATTTTCTTATTGTGAATGAAAACCAATATTTGTGTTTGGAAAAGTAATCCATACTGTCTTCGTACTTCTTTCTCGAACACAATTTTGTCGAGAAGAAACTGTTTATTCTTAACAATTACATAGACCTAACGTTGGCTATTACAAATAAATCCCAACTGTAGCTAACTGTATAATCGAGCTAACTAAAACAGATCAAAAGAATCATATGAGAATTACTAGAACATTGAAAAATGAATTATTTCTACTGTTTTCTAGTCAGAAACGCGTCATAAATTTATCTTCTTTTCTTTTTTTGTCTGCTTCAGATATCAACAAAGAGCGTTTAAAATAACTCGTTCACATCAATTCTTACTCACTAGCTAAAGAATCGAACGCCAATAAAAAAAAAAACATTTTTATTAATTTGTTTTATGTGAACTTATGTGGCATTCACTAGTGACCTAAAAAATTTTTTTCCATTGCTTGTGTGTGTGTCAGCTGAGCTGAACGAATCGATGTTTGATCGAATAAGATGATTCATGTTTTTAATCAGCTGACGTACGGTAAGTGATTGAAACCTCTTCATACAAGCAAAAATTTGAGTATACAAATCATTTCAAACATTCATGTTGTATAACTCTATTTTAAAAATACTTTTGATAATATAAATAAAAAACAAATAAAAATCAATTTGTGGTTTTTTTCAAAACCCGTTATTTTTAATGCACAATTCCATCGTTCAATTAAAATGTAGAAATAAAATTGTTTTTTATTTTTCAGATGGTTATGCTCTTTTTTTTTCTAGTAACAGTCACTTGCATTTCTTCATTCGTCTATGATTATTATCATCACATTCTAATTATTAATATTATTGTCGACCACCACGACTAATTCCACTGTAAAAAAAAAAGAAAAGAAAAGAAAGAAAAGTCGGTAGAAGGAAAATAGAATAAAAGGAAAAAGAAGAACGACGATGTGTCAGATTGAACAATATAGTATGTTTGACCGTTTCGCGTGTACATGATCACAAAAAAGAATTCAATTATTTGTGTGATAAATACGATTTATATAAGAGTAAAATGATTTAATAAAAATTATTAATTTGTTTCGTGCTGCATCATTCATTAAGCATTATTTTGCATGTCCCGGTGTTAAGATAGGATACAATGATGTTATATAAGGTATTTCATTATATTTTATCCGAGATACAGATGTAGCGAATCATTGAATTGAGAATTGACGATATCACAGTTTGAGACGACACACTATCTTTAGATTTTTTTCTAATAATGTAATCAGGAGACAATCTTAAGACTACTTAAAATCAAAGTGTTACTCTTATATATTATTCCTTAGCGTATATAATGTTGTTAATGGAATTATAATAAAAAGATGTACTTCCTCTTTTTACTTTTAGAAATAGTTGTAAATTATGTGTTAAAGGAAAAAAACATTTTTAAATGTATTTTAACACCTTGATATTGTTTACCCGCACCAATATAGACTAATAACTACGTTTTTTCTCTTGCTGTTTAGTAGAAAAATTGATTGAAGTTTCATGTGCAAGGGGATAGCTTTTGTTTGAATAAAACATCTACTTTTTGCTATTATGTTTATCTGAGAATGAGTATGAGTATGAATGAATATCTGACCAAAAGATGATGACATACGAGGGTCATTTTGAGTTATAATTTTAAAAATCAAGCCAAATATAGTGATATAAATCAGTTAACGATAGTTTTAAATCGGAAGAAAAAAGAAAGATCATTTTTTTCTCTTCTTCGTTAAAGCTGATGACCATATTTTAGAGAGTGTGTAGGATTGTCACTATTCATTGTTACTCTCGCGCGCTGAGATTAACTTTTCATGTTCTTTCGTCTAACTTGAATGAATAGTTATAATATATATAAAAAAACAATAGAAAAAGAAGAAAAGAGGATATATATTGCACAACTGTTAAACGAAGTAATAAAATAGTATAGTATAGTAGAGTGAAACTTCGTTCAAGCTGATCGATTAACACAACGGTAAAGGAGCAATATCACTGTCGAAAATTTGTAGGTGCTGTAGTGTTTTCCGTTCTTTTTTTTGGATCAAGTAGGAAAGAAGATGGAGTTATCAAAAAAAGAAAGAAATCTTTCGACTATCATTATTATTCAATAGTATGTGTAGAAATGTAGTAATATAATGACTCTTGGTGCGAGAACGCGCGTGTGTTCTCTATATGAAAATGTCAAATGTGTGTATGTATATGTGTACGAGATATAGAATGCGTCATCCGGTTATTGTTCTCTGAACATGTCATTTTTTTCGATTAGAAACTTCTTTTCTTTTTTTGAAATCGAGTAGTCTCTATATTAAAATAATAAAAAGGTGAATTCTGTATTCAATGGAAAGAACTAATTTATATTCTCTTTCTAATAAATATCACAAAAAAAAAGAACGAGAAAAACTATAGTAGTCGTATAGTTTTAAAATAAAAAAATTGTGCAATTTTCGCCATATCCGAGATAGTTCTCAAATTCTTTTTTATTCACATACATTCTATACACACTACACACTTTTATTGTTATTAAAAAAGAAAGATCGTTTTGTTCACTACACGGTATATAATCAATGTGTCGACTTAATAACAACTTTCTTTAGTTGATCTAACATACATATTTGTTGTATTCGCGCGATAGTTAGACCACATTAATAACCATTATTCGAGCGTGAATGATCAGTGATAGAACTATACTACTATCTTCAAAGAAGAATAGAAACGATGCATTTGTTGCTTCCGTTCTTAGAGGGAAAAAAAAATACTCAAAAAAATTATTTTTCAAGCTTAAAAAAAGAACACAGGTAGGGAATAAAATGTTTTTATATTGATTGAAAAACCATCAATTTTTTTAAATTGTATATAGTAACACCCGTTAATCCAATGAAAAATATTTAGAATTATGATAGATATGAGAGTAAGAGAAGCTTCTCCTTTTTGCCGACCTTGTTAATTATGAAGACAGCAAGAGGTCTATCTCTATGAGACTGAACGAGTTAAACGATGGCTTTGTGCACATGATCTTGGAGCTCTGGTACGTTGATTATATGACTCATTACAAATCTCTATAGTCTTTGAGAATAAGATCATGTTTAGATTTATTTGACATGAATATTAATGTGTTTCTTGTGAAGGTTTCTGTTACGTAGGTTAAATTTGACTTAAGGTGATTTTTCCTGTTTTATTTCTTTTTAATCAATGCCCCTATAATGTAATTTTATAATTTATTGTATATTAGACATGAAACTTAACTTGAAATATTTTATGACTGTTAAACATGTTGGAACGGCAAGTGATGCATTTGTTAAGTCGACTGAATGAAACGAAAGTATTTTCTTTTCAGAAAAAAAATTATTTTTTTCGCTGAACACTCTTCTGTTTCAAGTCAAATACTCGTTCTCAGATATTCTTAATCATAGAGATTGATTTTTCAGCAGTAAAAAGGTCTCAAGTAAAATCTAGCTTTTTTCCTGGTTATTGTCTCCTCACATGTGTTCAAACTGCTTTTTACTTAATTTTACTATCAAAAGTCATACTTTGCCAAATTTCTAAATTAGTTTTTTTACTTTTCCTGAATTTAATGAATGTATAGATTCATAATAGAATCTAAACTTTCTCTAATTTCTCCATTGCATACATATATAGTTTATTCATTAATAGGTTATGCGTGATGACTCACTAGTTAGTCAGATCACTTTTTATAACAGGAAAATATTGTGTCCTTTTACCAAAAACATGTACATCCAAGACCGATAAGTAGTACTATCACAGATAAAATAGTGGATAAATGGGATATTGAAATCTCTTTGTCTCTGTGTTTGTCACTTGTTGGATATCCTAGATAGTTGAACTCAAGTCTTTCTTCTGTTTTTCAGACTTATTTCATATCATAGCATTTAAAAACAAGTAAATAGCACTAAAAAAAGTGAATGACAAAGAAATATGAGCCAGTTGAAGATGAGGGACATTATATTCTCACGAATTTTCTGAATGCTTATGTTTATCATCAAAGCAAGCTGTTATCTCTCATACTAGAAAATTCATCGTGATTGATTAGACGTATTATTCTATAATTGTTGGGTTTTCCTTTTTTTTGCAGTTCGTACGCTGTATTGATAGATTTATAATAACTTCTCGTTAGGATTACTTTTCAAAAGTTCAGTTCTTATTTGTTGATCAAAAAAAGGAGGAAAAAGTTTTTGATTTTCTTTTAAAAATATAGTGTTGTGTTTGAAGATCAGAATAGATAGAATAATGATAATGATGAAGATGCGTACGTATATTTTAAATATTTGAAAGGCTATAATAAGATAGATAATCATAATCATCATCCAACACCTTTGTTGTTTTATCAAGATTAAATAAAGAAAGAAAGATATCAAACGAAATATGAAAGTGACAACAGTTGATTTAGCAAACAAAACCTGACTGACATGCACACATCTTCTTAATCAGTTTTCTTTCTTTCTTTTTTGTTTTGAAAAACGACTATCCTTTTCATCGATTGTTCAGTGCGCGCGCATGTTCTATTGAATTGGAAGAGAAACGCATTCTATTTATATTGATTTTTCTTCTCTCACAGAAAGATATGCAAATCAGTTGTACATAAAAAAAATAGAATTTAGGGTAAGATCATAGATGGAAAAAACGTGACTTTCCAATTTATTAAAAGCTTTCTTTCGGCTGATTTTCTTTGATTGTTGATGGTGATGATGATAACAATATTTATTGTTATTGTTCAAAAAGTGAGTATTGTTGTATTATCTCAATAACACAATAGTCGTTTTCGAAAAAAATTAATTAAAACGTTCAGTTGTACATGGACATGCTTTCCTGCTTGTGTATTTATTTCAATGAAGAAAAATGGTCAATTTTAGCGATAGAGAAGATTACTTTAAATAGTATAGAAGATTATCAACACTTTTAAAATCCATCTGATTGATAGTGGAAGCCTAATCTGTAAGTAACAACACGAAAGATAAAAAGTATAGAAGGTTTTTTATTGATTTATTACTGACTTATATGATTATAGTTAACAAAAACGAGATGACTTGTAAAAGCATACAACTATGATGCCGTTGTCAAATAAGTTCGATTTATTTCGCAACTATGTTTATCTACTCAATTGCAGACTAGGTATACTTCTAACCTTCTCGAATTCATTAAACATACGTTCTGAGTCTCGTTCATACATTGTCTCAGATTTTGAAAGATAGACTATATAGACAGATATAAACGAAGATTTTTATCACACGTTGAGGAAATAAATTACCTGAAGAAGCTTTTTGTGTTATCATCAGTGTGGTCCAATTATTTTATTATATGACCTTTCTTCTAAACTGAAATGATTTGTGTGTCTTGTTATTATTGTTACAGAAAAATCAGATGGTCAATACACATATATATACACACGTCGTCGAAAAAGAATAAGAAGATGACTGCAGGGCGTAAATGCACTTCATCTGTACATATTCATTCATTCTATCTATATGAGTAATAGATTATAGTCGACCATTGTTAACATGACATTTTCTCATGTTCAGTTTTTGGAAAAATAAAATCGATCAGAGTTCACTTTTCACAGTTGTATGTCTGACTCATATAATCATTTAAGCTATTTTACTTTCTATTTCAGATGATTGAATATTAGTGTATGAATTAGAAATAATTTTACCATTAAAAATGAAATGTAAAAATTTTATTGTTCTATTTTTATTAAAATGGTGGTCGTCTATCAGTCTTGTTCAAACACTTGAATTGAGTATGTATTCTACATTTCGATTTGCATAAACTAAATTTTCATTGTTTTTAGAAAAATTATCAGCATGTCAAACAAGTTTAGGCTTACAATCCGGTCTAATACCAGATTCAGCTCTATCAGCGTCGAGTAGTTATGATAGTTCGAGTGTTGGACCCACAGCAGCACGGTAAGTTATACATTGGATGAAGTAGCTCTCTTGATATTTTTCTAGTGCAATATTATATAATATTTGAGAGTAGAAGAAAGCGCACATATGTTGTTATGCCAGCTATTATTGTCATTATTAGTTGGAATAGTGTGCTTGAATGAAAATTGGTCATTAGTGTATTATTATTAGCTCGTTCTATCTGCTCTTTATTCACCAAGAACCTTGTACTTATAACAATAATGATGAACACTTAGACGATAGTGTGTCCATTCACTAACTCATTACTCAACACTTAGAAAAAGTAGAGAGAGAATTCATTAAACGGATTCTATTTTGTGTATGTATGTGTATAAAAGTCAGTATGTATTGTTCTTGTCTAATTTTTCAAAACTTTTCCACCGTTCAAACAAATTGAAAATGGGATGGGGGTGAAGATGAACAATGGAAATTATTAAAAGTGTGTTCAGTATAAAATTTCTATTTGTCTTTCGTCGATGCATGAGAAGCAATTGAAAACGCGAAATTGTATATCTCTGAATAAGTGAGCAAAACAATATATGTACCACAATTGTTATTCTATATAGTAATAATTGTTCAAATGTCACAAAGTCTTCTTTATATAATCCGTTGTTTGCTTAATGACACACTTACTAGGTTTCAGTTTGGAGAAAGGAGAATGAATACTGCTAGCTCTTACGCTTGAAATAACAAAAGACTATGTAGTTAAATATATGACATTCATTGGCATACAAAGGTACTCAGCCATGATAAACTACAGATGTTTGACGAAAGAACTATGTGTTTTAATAAATAAGTTAGTCCACTTTAGAAGTTTAAATCATATTAGTATCAATTCTTTCTAAGTATATCGATCCTCCGTTTAGAATTCGTACTGAGCAGTATGGAGGCGCATGGTGTCCACTATCACAAGCAAATCAAATTTTAAAAGAATGGTTAGAAATTGATTTTGGAAATTTGACTTATTTAACACAAGTTGAAAGTCAGGGTCGCTTCGACAATGGAAGAGGAAAAGAATTTACCGATTATTATATATTGGAGTATACACGATATTCGAATACAACAAAAATAGTTGATGAAACAAAATGGATTAGATATAAACAAAAAGGTGGTAATGAATGGATTCAAGGAAATCAAAATACATATTTGGCGGAAATAAGAGTATTAGGTATTAGATTTTATTTTATGATGACCAGGTATACACCGCGTATAACCGATAAATTTCGCCTTTTTTCTGAAATAGATTGCTTGAAAAGTATACATATTCAAATTTTTTTAACAAATGAGTTTTATAGAGCAAACATTTTTCTACAAGATGAGTTTCGGCTGAGATCTTCATGTTTTCTATTTCTGCCGTACTCGTTTTTGGACAAAGGGCCCTAAATCAGTCATAACCGATTGTCGGTTATAGCCGATCATGTAACCTTTAAGACGACATTTTTAAATAAGTGCTGGATTAAAACGTATAGCTCATCTTGTAGAAAAATGTTTACTCTGCAAAATCCAATTGTTAGAAAAATTTTAAAGAATTAATTTTTGTTGAGAAAAACGTTTTTGTGGAAAAAGTGCATAATTTCAATCGGTTATAACTGGTGCATGCCTAATGACGACAATTTTACATATTCGTTTATATTGTGTAGATCCGCCTATTGTTGCCAGAAAATTACGGTTTTATCCCGTGTCAAAACAGACACGAACCGTCTGTATGCGTGTTGAAGTGTAAGTATTGAATATCTCGTCATCATTATTGTCTAAATGTAATTGCTTAATTCATAGATACGGATGTTTGTTTACGGATGGTCTTGTTTCTTATACAATGCCACAAGGAAAAATGAGTTGGAATAATCTCGGTGATGATAGTTATGATGGATCATATTCACAAAAAACTGGAATATTGTCAGGTAGATTTCAACTCGAAATGATGAAAAAGTATTTTATTATAATTTTTGTTCTCATATTTTGTTTAAGGTGGTTTAGGACAATTATCCGATGGTATCATGGGTTCCGATGACATTTCGTCCGAACGTGGTGGAGGATTACCATGGGTATGTTATGAGTTTGTGCTGGAAATAGTTATGTTTGTCTGACAACTTATTTTTTTGTCAAGGTGGGATGGCAAAATGACACTCATGGCTATATAACAATTACATTTGAATTTGATTATCTGAGACAAATGAATCGTGTCACAATTCATTCGAATAACGACTTTTATCGACAGATACTCGTCTTCAAAACATGTGTATTATCATTTAGTAAAGATGGTATTAGTTTTACAAATACGTTGGTATTTCATCATCGTCGTGATGAAAATTTTGATTTGGCACGACCGATTATTATTGATATGAAAAATAATGTTGCAAAATATGTTAAAATGGATTTATATTTTGATTCATCATGGATGCTCATTAGTGAAGTTACATTTGATTCCCAAATTCTAAATTTAAACGAAAAAGAACTGATTTTTCATGATGAATCATTAGTAACAGTAAAAAATGAAACATCTGAACAAATAAAATCAAATAAAGATATAGCTGGTATGTAATATCTACAGTTTAGAAGCAATGGATAAAACATAACTTTTGTTTTCGATTTAAAGGACAAACAGATGCACACATTTTCGACGAGATAAAAAATATTGAAATTCGAAAGAAAAATCGCGATGTTACTCTGTTATCAACGAATAGTCCAGTTTTAGAATCAACAACATTATTTTCACAAATTGTTAGTTCTGAATTATACATCGCTTTCTTCATAGGTGTTTCATTAGCTATTGGTCTATTACTATTAGTAACAGTTGTATGGATTATTAGGCGAAAGAAAAAACTCAAATTCCAGAAGTATGTATTTTAGTATGAGTAAATTATTTGACTTTCTATAAAACACTTAGATGACGGATATTGTAACAAAAATGACAACATGTTAATTTAGGCCTATAAGAGAAATCTGAACATATCCTACGATATTATAAATCATGTGGCTTGACACTAAAGAAATAGTACATAGCTATTAATTTGGTACTTCTATTTTTAGATTAACTGAAAAACCGTTTAACACTTCTTATGCTTATCCAACATTACAAATTCGTGAATTTCATGATCCAAAATTTAACGATAGTGATCGCGAATACGCCGTACCGGATATCGGTTACTATTCAACATTTTCTCATAGTCCACATTTAAAGTCAAATCATCTTCAATCTTCCTCATCCTACACGTGTAGTCCACGATTACTTCGTTCAAACGATCCATCGACGACGAATAATTTGAGTAATAATACTTGTATAACGATGTTATCACCAAATCAACATTGTACACATCATGATTATCACCATAATCATGTAGATATGACTTACAATACTACAACACTAAAACAAAAATGTGTTCATGAAACAAATTTGATACCAGTCGAAGGTGTATGTGGAAATTGTACAATGATCAAATTAATTAGTTCAAATTCAACAGGAATAGTAGCTTCGTCGTCAATACCATCTGAAAATATTAAATTCATAGAAAAAATTGGTAATGGACTCTTTGGTAATATTCATATTGGTGAATTGTATCAGTTAAACGATCAACAACAATATCAAACGCAAACAGTTTTAATCAAATCAATAAAACATGATGTAGATGAAAATACCAAGTGAGCCAATGTTTTCTAAATTGTTGAAATATTTTCTATATTTTATATTAACACGTTTTGTTCACTCGTGCGTACACGTTTTGTTGCATTTAGAATACTGTTTTGGGAAGAAATGGAATTAGAATCATCATTACACGATAAAAATATTAGTTGTTTAATTGGCACAAGCAGTGGACGAACAATAGGTCTATTCGAATATGCATCGTTTGGTGATCTATATCATTATTTGAGATTAAATAATTCGACTACATTGGGTTACGGTAAATTATTGTACATTAGTACCCAAATTGCATCAGCTATGAAATATCTTGAAACATTAAATATTGTCCATCGTGATCTCGCTTGTCGAAATTGTCTCGTTGGCTCGAATTATAGCATTAAATTAACGGATACAGCGATGAGTTGTCCAAGTTTTACAAATGATTACGTTAAATTAGGTGTATATAAAGCAAAAATTGGAGTTCGATGGGCTTCATGGGAGACTTTATTTTTGGTAACTTTTTGAATTATTGTAATTGTACATATCAAACATTTTCTATTATTTTTAGGGTAAATTTTCAACAAAAACAGATGTATGGAGTTTTTCTGTTATGTTATGGGAAATCTTTACATACGCTCAAAATCCTCCGTACAATCATTTGACAAATGAACAACTCGTAGAACAATTAGCACTGTTAGCGAATATAACGTTGGACACATGCTCATCACCAATAACTTTACCACTAGTCCCACCATTACCATCATCATTAAATTATTTTCAACCCCTATTGAATAATTACTCAACATTAAACTTTGTTCCACTTCCACAACCGACAATGTGTACCAAAGAAGTTTATGATCTAATGAGTGAATGTTGGCACCGAGAAGATTCTCGACGACCATCCTTTTGTGATATTCATGCGTTTTTAATGGGAAAATCTTCGGGTTTTGATCTATCCAATGCACTACTTGTTTCATCTTCCTGATACATAATAATTTTAAATCTATTTTTTTATTGTTTCATATCTATGTAAAATAGCTGTCCCTCCAATAATTTTCTTAATACATTTTAGCGAAACAACATGTTCTAAGCGTAATTTAGCTTTAAAGTTAGTGAACTATTGTGTGATGAACGAAAAAAACGTAAGATTATAGTCGAAGTCACATATTGTATTTTCTTGTTTTTTATATTCAGATGTAACAGTCAAATATAAATTCTTCTATATTGTGTTTAATATTCTTTGTTTTTACGATAATGAAAATATTTTTTTTGAACAAGAAAAATAACGGTTTCAAATTGTTACTGTAATATGTTGAGTGAAAAAGCGAATTGTAGAAAATAAATAAATATATTCACAATCGATACTGATGTTCTTCAATATGAATGATGTGAGGTGTAGCAGAGTTGGAACCGTTTGAAAAAAACGTAATCGGATCGGATCGGCCGTTAACGGCCGATTAAAAAGTTTTTCTAAATCGGTGAAAACCGGTCTAAAAAAGTTTGATTATTTTCTAATAATATTTGTTCGAAAAAATAAAAGAGGTGGAGGTCGTATCTACAACACACCTAATCTTCTAGAAAGAGACTGGTTATAAAAGCACTAATGACACGCAAGGGAAAATTGAGTGTTTGTTTGAGATTGATTACCAACCGGTTTCGCTTTTATTAAAACAAAAGCTCTTCAGGGTATCTCTTTATAATAATTTGTAATGTAAGCCTGTAAAATACAAACAAGAAAAAGCGTATTTCATCTTCACTATCCTGAGGGAAGAAAGTATCTCATAAGATCTCCTGGTATTGGTCAAAACTGACACATAATACTCGCGAAGACGCACTAGGATTTGACTTTATACACTCTCTCCAGTGGAAAACAAAACGCCACTTCTTCCTGTCGGTTTCGAGACACGACGGAAGCATTTTCCTTGAGCATACCACGACGCGTTTCGACCGATGCTCAACGGTCTCATCAGGTGGTCCTAATACTCTTCGGTTCAGATGTTTAGAACTCGAAGGTAAAATAAAGAAAAGTGGATAAGTCGTAACTAATTACTATGTATTCATAAATACATGTATATGCCTAATTACTCGTTGAATGCATAGCTGAATTTTCCTTCAAATCCTTCTTAAAACTATAGGTGTTATTAGGGGAAAGTAAAAGTCAGTTTTGTTTCTGCTATTGAAATTTACACGAAAAAAAGCAAATTTGTTTTTTGAAATTCTTTTTGCTGAAAAAGTGATTTGAAAAGAAGGAAAACCCTAAAAAGGTTTATAAAGATAAATCGGTAAAAAAACGGTAAAAAACGGCCGATTGAAAGGTTTAATCGGATCGGGTTGGCCGTTAACGGCCGATCCGGTTCCAACTCTGAGGTGTAGTTACTGAGTGCATTTGCTTAATAAATATTATTCAAGAAATAGACTGACGTTGTTGAAAAAAAGGGAAGTTAGATTATGTTGTTGATTGAAGTTACGTGTGCCAATATTGTGGAAAAAGGGAAGCTCTCTCGTTAAAGATAACCGGATAATCAATTTTTAGAAATAATTCACGTTCCTTTCGAATGTACGAGGGTGGGTTTCGAGACCTATGAGATCAGTCAAACGGAAGAGTAAAAGTTTAGTGAGTCGTCCGACTTAAATCAGTAGTATAGCTAACTTAAGAATCAGCAGGTATAGCTAACTTGATCTCTATGGGATATGAAACTGTGTATATCATCTGCAATTTAAAATGTTATGTATTACACGAGCAGTTTGGTTTGCTTAAGGGCTCCCCCCTCAGAAATTATCTCCGACACCGTGCATCCGATCTTGACGAAACTTTCCATTAATGTTCGGCACAATGAGTTACGGGAATGAAAAAATTTTTTTGTCCCCAAGTCTTACGGTTTAGGAGTTTTCCAGAGATCAAGGTCCAAAAAGAACCCTGAACGGCGTCCCAAGATTTTTTAATATACTTCAAGCTGGAGAGTTCGGGTTTGTTTTATTTTAAACTAGACATCTAACTACATCGACTGACCGGCGTCGATTTTTG